CTCTAAGAAGTTCCATTTTCTTCTGTCTCCAATTTACTGTTCACAATTTTCAAAAAAATTGTTCCATTTTTACAAATATTATATAAAATATTTTGATCTACGAATTTCTCATGAAAAACGACGTTACTGAAAATAACTCCATCTCCAATTATTACCACAAATTTTTAAGAAATGCATTTCATTTTTATCGTATGTTTCGATTCGTGAATATCTCATGAAATATTCTGTCGTATCTGAGCGTCGTTAAGGCAAGATTTCCACGATCAATATGTAGCTTCATTTCCGTCGGGGTTGTAAACCCGCTTTTGCCATCGATTCTATTTTGCATCGTTTCGTTGAACCTATTGTTCGGTATTCATGTTTTCTCTGGTAGAAAATATTTCGTACTAGCAGAAAAGTATGTTTGAGCAGAACGATGAATAAATAAATGATCGCATTTCGATCCCTCTTTCCATTCAGCTTCTACTTATTCGGAGTTTCAATCAAATTCGATATTTCGTTTGAATTTATTCGTGCATTAATATTGATATACTAATATTAAATGTGTCCTCATTAATTGCGTACGATAATAATTTTGCTATTTAACATATTTGTTTGATTCAATTTTTGAATCGTGTTATATTTTTATATTTTAATATTTCTATGCGTTGTTTATTCATATGTTAGTATCTACATGTGTTATTTTTTTCATATGTTAATATCTGCTAGTTTTTGTATTTGTTAGTTTTTGATATGTTAGAATCTACTCTATTGACTTTTCACGTGTTAGAATTTACATGCGTTATTTTCTCATATGTCAATATTTTCACGCGTTGTTTTCTCATATGTGAGTATTCTGTGCGTGTTTTTTTTTTCATATGTTACCATATCCATGCATTGTTTTTATATGTTCGTATCTCCACATATTGTATTTTCATATGTTAGCATTTCTACATGATGTTTATTCATATGTTCGTATCTCCATATGTGGTATTTTCATATGTGAGTTTTTCCACGCGTTGTATTTTCACATGTAATATCTACATACTTTATTTTTTCATATGTTAGTATCTATCTGCTTTAGTTTTTCATATGTGATTATTTCCATATGTTTTATTTTCATATGTTAATATTTACATATGTTACTTCACATGTGTTACTACCTTCATATGTTGTACTTTAATATATTAGTATCATTATGCATTGTATTTTCATGTGTTAGATTCTCCACATATTGTATGTTCACATGTAGTATCTCCACATATTATATTTTCATATGTTAGTATCCACATATGTTATTTTTCATATGTGACTATACCCATATGTTATCATTTCATACATTAGTATCTACACACATTATTTTTTAATATATTAATATCTCCACATATTCCTTTCATATCTTAGTATCTACATATGCGTTTTCTCATATGTGAGTATCGTATTATATTTTCACGTAAAGCTTCGCGTTACGTCATCGTTCTATCGTAAATCTACCGAGATCATCTAAAGATTGAAAGGTAGACTTTTCCTGTCTCAGTATATTGCTGGCCATAAAATATGATGCGTTTCTATATTTCCTCATTTTATAGCGATGTAGAATGTCATAGTACATGTATGCACATGTATTTGCAAATTTCTAATAAATATTAATTTACATATTACATATTCAACTTCTTCTTCCAATATTTTATAAACCAGTAAATTTTCTAAATATCAATTTTCCATAAATACTAATTATAAATTATTACCAAATACTTCATTACTAAAAATTAGAAGTGCTCGTATATTTCATAGATCACTTTTCAGTAATTTGCAAGTTTTCATTATATTAAAAAGTACACTACTGACTTTTTCTTCAACAATATTTTAATAAATCCACAGGAATATTATGCCAAGTACGTTCCACAAGATTAATCTTAAAAAGTTTGCATAGAGTGAATAATTTCAGTTTAAGAGCTTTAATTAGAATATCAAATTTATTGTTCTTTCACCATCACCGTACATCACGCTTCCGTTGAAATTGAAAGCAAACTCTAACAACTTTAAAACACGCCGCCATTGTAGATCTTCGTTTGTGCCACAGAAGTTGATCCTGCAGAAAAAGAGCCACTACATTCCAATTTATTACGTTCAAAGTGAACGAAATACTATTTCACTTGAAACTGTTATCTCGTGGAAGATCCAATGTTTCCAGATCTCAACTACTCTTATATCTTTTTAACGAATCGTATTTAGTTACAGGGGAAAAACAACCTGAAGTGCTCGACAAATATCGAAATGAAACAGATATCAATTTCATGTTTCAACTTCGAAATTGTAAACGTAGTGCTTTTTTTAAAAATCGATCAAATGCACTTGGGTCAGCTTCAATGGTGCGGAATTCTATCAAATTTATTTTGTAAATTTAATCAAATTTATTATCGAATCAAGTTTTATGGGTGAAGTGCAAAATTGTTAAAATTGATGCTTGAATGATATAGTAACTGCAAAATAGTAATACATATATAGTACATATATTTACAAATATATACATTGTCACATATGTACCATACATGTATTATAGAGCATCACATATGAACAGGTGAAATGAATCATTCTTATAATACACATTGATGCTTGAACAATATAGTAACTGCAAAATAGTAATACATATATTGTACATATATTTACAAATTCATACAGTGTAACATATGTGCCATACATGTATTATAGAGCATCACATATGAACAGGTGAAAAGAATCATTATTATAATATACATTGATGCTTGAACAATATAGTAACTGCAAAATAGTAATACATATATTGTACATATATTTACAAATTCATACAGTGTAACATATGTGCCATACATGTATTATAGAGCATCACATATGAACAGGTGAAATGAATCATTGTTATAATACACATTGATGCTTGAACAATATAGTAACTGCAAAATAGTAATACATATATTGTACATATATTTACAAATTCATACAGTGTAACATATGTACCATACATGTATTATAGAGCATCACATATGAACAGGTGAAATGAATCATTCTTATAATACACATTGATGCTTGAACAATATAGTAACTGCAAAATAGTAATACATATATTGTACATATATTTACAAATTCATACAGTGTAACATATGTGCCATACATGTATTATAGAGCATCACATATGAACAGGTGAAAAGAATCATTGTCATAATAGACATTGATGCTTGAACAATATAGTAACTGCAAAATAGTAATACATATATAGTACATATATTTACAAATACATACATTGTCACATATGTACCATACATGTATTACAGAGCATGACATATGAACAGGTGAAATGAATCATTGTTATAATATACATTGATGCTTGAACAATATAGTAACTGCAAAATAGTAATACATATATTGTACATATATTTACAAATTCATACAGTGTAACATATGTGCCATACATGTATTATAGAGCATCACATATGAACAGGTAAAAAGAATCATTGTTATAATACACATTGATGCTTGAACAATATAGTAACTGCAAAATAGTGATATATATATAGTACATATATTTACAAATACATACATTGTCACATATGTACCATACATGTATTATAGAGCATCACATATGAATAGCTGAAATGAATCATTGTCACACTACACATTGTTACTCAAAAATTGTAATATACATATATCTATTTACACATACATGCATTTACATATATATGTACACACGTCGTAACACACATCGTAACATATGTACATATACACACATGTATATATTACAATTTTTATGATGAGGCATAAAGTTCGTACGCGATGAATATTGCATAAAATTTTATAACTGATAAAACATGCAATTCCCTTTTAAATAACGCAGGATTAAATGATAATTTCAATGACTCATTAATGATCTGGCTTTTCTGTTGCTTTGTCGAATGACAGTGTGCGACGAGTATGCGCCGTATCGAAAAGGTTAAAGCTCCTGGGCAAGACTTGGCCTGCCCCAATATCGATCTACACGTTGCTCTCGTTTCATCTGGACCACTCTTATCCTACCACTATTTCCGGAACTGTATTGTCAATTATTAATTTACTTTTCCAACCACGAAGGTCACATTGTGCATAATTTCTTAACCCGTGCAATACTTACCGCGTTTGGAACTGGGTACGTCATTAATGACGTACCTTGGGATTTAATTAACTTTATTGAATTGAATGTAATTTCATTTTCGTTTCTGGTAAACAGTTTTTATTGTGTTCTATTGGGTTATCTGTTATTTGTATACCTTCGTATGTTGTGATATATTGTTTGTAATATGTTTGTTTAAAAATTGTTTGTTATGCTTTAAAATATTTTTAGATAGAATGAGAATGTAATAGTGTTACCATAATGTAATAGCTTTCACTTTTTCACTTATTTATTCTTTCACTTTTCTACTTGGTTAACTCATATGTGGACTCATATGTAGATTCATATGTGGAATTTCTACTTATGTGGAAATTCATATGTAGATTTATATGTGGAATGTCTACTTATGCGGATTCACGTGTGGAAGGTTTACTTGTGTAGAAATTCATATGTAGATTCATATATGGAATTTTTATTTATATGTATAGAAATTCATACGTGGTTTCATATGTGGAATTTTTACTTATATGTAAAGAAATTCACACATGGTTTCATATGTGGAATTTTTCCTTATGTCAAAATTCATACGTAGATACATACGTAAATTATCAATTTATGTAAAAACTCATATGTGGAATTTTTCCTTATATCAAAATTCATACGTAAATTCACATATGGAATTTCTATTTATGGAAATTCATACGTAGATCCACACATGAAATGTCTACTCACATAGAAATCCATACATCCATCAAAAATAGCACTCGACGTGTTAAACAAATATCGAAACACGTCTAACACAATTCAGTGACATACGAGTGAAATAATAGTTACTATTAACTTCAAGCATAAAGTTAGTTAATAACAAGCATTTAATTTTGTCATTTTAATCGTGTTTCAGATTAGTCGACGACAGATGCGTAGTATGTCCCGAAGCGGGAGACTTATCAAATCCTCCGAAGAAGTTCAGAGGTAAGTAATAATAGTTAATACGATATAACGTTTTACTAAATACATTATCGATAGGCAAAGTTTTCATACCAACTTTGCACAATCAATTACAAAAGTAGTGCGACTAATATACTGTTTTGCATAAATGCGTTTATACAGAATTATGTATAAATACTGTTGTACAACGTTACATACAAAAATTGTATACACACGAACATATGTGATAAATTTCAGTCTGAGGTACATGTGAGATAAATTTCACTTTGCGGTACATATAAAATAAATTTCAATTTAAGGTATATACAAGATAAATTTCAATCTGAGGTACATATAAGATAAATTTTAATCTGAGGTACATGTAAGATAAATTTCACTTTGAGGTACATATAAAATAAATTTCAATATGAAGTACATATGATACGTGTGTTCCTAAAACACATATGAAACACATGACAATCTGAGATACATATAAGATAAATTTCACTCTGAGATACATACAAGATAAATTTTAATTTGAGATACATGTCAGATAAATTTCACTTTGAGGTACATATAAAATAAATTTCAATATGAAGTACATATGATACGTGTGTTCCTAAAACACATATGAAACACATGACAATCTGAGATACATATAAGATAAGTTTCACTGTGAGATACATATAAGATAAATTTTAATCTGAGGTACATATAAGATTCATTCTAATATGAGATACATATGATACATGCCTACTTAAGACACATATGACACATGACAATCCGAGACACACATATGATACATTTCCCCAAAACGAGTATCATATAAAAAAAAATATTTTCCCTCGCAACTTTCAGATTGCCTCTTCAAAATATGTCCCATGAATCGTTACTCCGCCCAGAAGCAATTCTGGAAGGCCGCGAAGCAAAACGCGGGCGGCACCGACGCGGTGCTGCTGAAACGTCTGCACGTGAGTTACAACGGCAAATTATCACCTGAGCATCGTTCCAGCAAAGTATTTTTAACACCAAAAGAATCAATGCCGGGATCAATTATTTTCAGCACGCCGCCGAGATCGAGAAGAAACAGAACGAGACCGAAAATAAGAAACTGCTGGGCAGCGTGGTATCCTACGGTAACGTTGTCCAGGTGAGGGACTGTTTTGTTTCTCTAATATTTTTCTATATTTTTACATTGCCCTCGTTACGCGAAGTAAATCAATTTACCTTGCGCTACACGCCTCAAAAGGTCAGCTTAGCTTTAGAACCCAAGGACACGTACCCTTTTATGCATAAAGCCTCGTCGAGTGATGCCGGCGTGGAAAATAGAAAACGCAACAAACAATTGAAGGGTTCCGAACACGACCCTTGTCAATTTTCGTCTTTTTTTAGCATCGAAAGATTCTGAAGAAAAAACGAAAAATATTTCAGACTCTGTTAACCGCTTATGGTTGGAGACTCAATCTTTTATTTAACCTTGCATCGGAGAAGTTCGACATTTTGCTCGGATATGCTAGCTGCGTTTATCATAAGTCTGGAGAGAAACGATAAGTGCTCGCCAATTAACAGAATCTACTTCCTCTGCCTCCGTCACATGCTACCGCTCACATAATTTTTATGTTAAAGCAGTAAACCTGTGACGATTATAATCACACATAATGTATACAACCTATAATAATATAAATTAGAAATAAACTCAAAACCCTGTTCTTCATGAACAAGCATTAATAAGGTGGGAGCACTAATCAGAATTAAAACTGGGACTTAGCTTACAAACACTCTTTGTCCACACGAAGACAATGTCCTTGTTATTGCGTATTTAAGTATATGATCGAATTATTAATCAGGTTCGTGGGGCTTTTATCGTCCACAACAAGGGAAACAACGTTACGCTGGTCAGCTATTACAGGAACCGAAAGAACGTCTGGAACAGCAGGCTCTTGCCTGTGAACTAGACGTCTACTTAACTTGATGCAATAACGTAGCCCCGAGGTCTCTGTCGGGGCTATCGGGCTACTTTATTACTTCCCACTTTGTACAGCGAATTATGGCAGACACGAAAGTTAATGTACTAGAAGGTGCCTGCGCTTCTTATTTTGGCGACCTCGTCGTTCCCTTTTGAATCAATCCACGAGGGCGATTTTCTGTTCCGTGTACGTCAAATTGATTATCGCCTCATTCGTGTTTAACATGCGGGAGCTATTTTTGTGGGGACGCGGTCTAGAAAGATTTGCTGGGTTCTAGAAAGATTAGGGATGTAGGGATTTTGGGATTTGTGAGATTTGGGATTTGTGGGATTTGGGATTTGTGGGATTTGGGGTTTGTTGGATTTGGGGTTTGTTGGATTTGGGATTTGTGGAATTTGGGATTTGTGGAATTTGGGGTTTGTGGGATTTGGGGTTTGTGGGATTTGGGGTTTGTGGGATTTGGGGTTTGTGGGATTTGGGGTTTGTGGGATTTGGGGTTTGTGGGATTTGGGGTTTGTGGGATTTGGGGTTTGTGGGATTTGGGGTTTGTGGGATTTGGGGTTTGTGGGATTTGGGGTTTGTGGGATTTGGGGTTTGTGGGATTTGGGGTTTGTGGGATTTGGGGTTTGTGGGATTTGGGGTTTGTGGGATTTGGGATTTGTGGGATTTGGGGTTTGTGGGATTTGGGGTTTGTGGGATTTAGGATTTGTGGGATTTGGGATTTGTGAGAATTGGGATTTGTGGAATTTGGGATTTGTGGGATTTGGGATTTGTGGGATTTGGGATTTGTGGGATTTGGGATTTGTGGGATTTGGGATTTGTGGGATTTGGGATTTGTGGGATTTGGGATTTGTGGGATTTGGGATTTGGGGTTTGTGGGATTTGGGATTTGTGGGATTTGTGGGATTTGGGATAAGGGGATTTTAAGATATGGGAATATGGGGATTTTGGGATATTCGACTTTTGGGATATAGGGATACAGATATGTAGGATTTAGGCATGCAAGAATTTAGGAATATAGGAATTGCTGTATGTGGATTTTAGCATATAGAAATTTGATCATATAAAGATTTGATCATATAGAGATTTGGTTATATAGAGATTTGATCATATAAAGATTTGATCATATAGAGATTTGATCATATAAAGATTTGATCATATAGAGATTTGGTCATATGTAGATTTGATCATATAGAGACTTGGTCATGTACTAATTTGAGAATATAAGATTTTGATCATGAAAGAATTTGGTAATATAGAAATTTGCACATAGATTTCAAGGTAACATTCGCCTGTACAAAGATTTGATCATATACAAATTTGAAGACATCAAGCTTCAGAGACTTTTCTCATAACTCCAACTGAAAGACATAAAATACAAAAATCCACATCATTCAGAAACTCTGTCCACAACTATGCACCTAAGAGTTTGTACAACTATGTACATAGAAACACAAAACTATGAAGAGCTAGATCCATGTCATCCTCAAATCATGGCTACGTCACGCCATTTCAATTCACATCACACATCTTCCCCTCAGCTATTACATCTCAAGTCCAACAAGTTCCTGACCGTAAACAAGAGGCTACCAGCACTACTAGAGAAGAACGCGATGAGGGTATACCTGGACGCGAACGGGAACGAGGGTTCCTGGCTCTACATAATGCCCTTCTACAAACTCCGCAGCGATGGCGACAGCGTTGTAGTCGGCGATAAAGTAATCCTAGAGCCGGTGAACGCCGGTAGACAGGGTCTGCACGTGGCTGCGAACTACGAACTGAGCGACAATCCAGGTTGCAAGGAGGTGAACGTGGTTAACTCGGCGACGTCGTGGAAGGTGACGCTGTTTATGGAGCACAGGGAGAACCAGGAGGAGATACTGAAGGGTGGAGACGTTGTTCGATTGTTTCACGCGGAGCAGGAGAAGTTTTTGACGATGGACGAGTATAAAAAGAAGCAGCACGTGTTTCTGAGGACCACTGGCAGAACCAGTGCTACTGCTGCTACCAGTAGTAAGGCCTTGTGGGAAGTTGAGGTAGGTTTTGAAGATTGTAACATCTTCACATCTACGTCTTATCTAAGATGTAACAAAGAGATTGTAGGAAAGATGTTCAATTAATTTTCTTCTTGTAGGTTGTTCAACATGACCCGTGCAGAGGAGGAGCCGGCCACTGGAACTCCCTCTTCAGATTCAAACACCTAGCCACGGGCCAATATCTCGCCGCCGAGATTGACACCGACGAACCACATGAACTCACAAAAGGCAAACATGGTGAGAAGATCAAAAAGGAATGCGTCTCACGAATTCAGAGCATAGATATATTGTTATACCTTGCAGATCCAGTGTACAGATTAGTGTCAGTACCACATAGCAATGAAATTAGTTCTCTGTTCGAATTGGATCCAACGACGTTGACGAGGGGCGACAGTTTGGTTCCACAGTCATCTTTCGTTCGGTTGCATCACATATGTACCAACACGTGGGTTCACTCGACTAGCGTACCGATTGATAAGGATGACGAAAAGCCTGTTATGTCAAAGGTAGCCTAGAACATCTCTGTGAAGAGTGGTCACGTTGATAAATATTTTAGTCACTGTAACAATATAAGCTTTGAATATCAGCGTGGTCACTCTAGCGTGTTCAAAAATAAATTGTTTAAATGATAATTAGGTTGGCTGCGCGACCAACAAAGAAGACAAAGAAGCGTTCGCTCTGCGATCCGTATCCCCGGTCGAGGTGCGAGATCTCGATTTCGCGAACGATGCGTGTAAAGTGTTAGCGTCGATAAGTAGTAAATTAGAGAAGGGTACGATCTCGCACAACGAGAGGCGAGCTGTGATGAGTTTACTTCAGGACATAGTATATTTCATAGCCGGTTTAGAGAACGAACAGAACAAATCTGAGGCTTTAGAGTTAATCGTCACGAACGCTGTGAGGGACCGACAGAAATTATTGCGAGAGCAGTACATACTTGGTCAACTGTTTAAAATACTTCAGGTATCGTAGCGCACCTTCGACGATTCTATTTCGAAGTTTCTGTATGCTGAAGATCTTTCTTTGGTAGGCTCCGTTCTTGGAGTCCGCGGAAGGCGAGGGACCATTTCTTAGAATAGAGGAGTTGAATGATCCAAGACACGCGCCATATAAATACATGTTTCGTTTATGCTACCGTATACTGAGGCTCTCTCAACAAGATTATCGGAAAAATCAGGTATCGTAGATATATTTTTAGCAATATTGTCAGTAAGTGCTTATACCGGTTTACTTTTTTTATGATGTAGGAATATATCGCTAAGCACTTCGCTTTCATGCAAAAACAAATTGGATACGATATTTTAGCAGAAGATACTATCACTGCGCTTTTGCATAATAATAGAAAGTTGCTGGAGAAGCACATCACGGCGGCGGAAATTGAAACGTTTGTAGGTCTTGTGAGGAAGAATATGCACAATTGGGAATCTAGATTTTTAGACTATTTGTCGGACCTGTGCATCTCCAATAAGAAGGCGATCGCAGTGACTCAGGAATTGATTTGTAAAAGTGTGCTGAGCGAAAAGAATAAAGATATATTAATAGAAACTAGGTAACATATTTGCTTAGAGAGAGCACTTCGACTTGTGTACTGATGTGTGATTTCTTTTAGAATGATGAAAACTCAGGTCGAAGTGGAAGAGGTGGACGAGAAACAGGAAAATGAAGAGCCTCGAATTACTGTGATGGAAGAATACGAAGTCTTTCTTGTGTATAATAACGGAACGGTTAGAATTATTACTATAATTTCAATGTGTATTCAAAATTGTTTTTGAAGTTATAATGGTTATCTTTGTGTAGAAGTCAATGTCTTTAAACGAGTTATCACGGGGAGCGAAAATGGGTAACGTCCAGGATGCAGCCATATTGGATTATTATAGGCACCAGTTAAATCTTTTTAGCAATATGTGTCTGAACAGACAGTATTTAGCATTGAATAATTTATCGCCACATTTGGACATTGGTCTCATACTTAAGTAAGTTAATTAACATTGTTATGACAATGATAATTATAACAGTGAAATTAGTCTGACAGTGTACATCATGTTATTAAAAATTTAGGTGTATGGAAGATGAAACGGTGCCATATGAGTTGCGTGCATCATTCTGTAGGCTTATGTTACACCTTCATGTTGACAGAGATCCACAAGAACAAGTCACACCTGTTAAATACGCTCGACTTTGGTCTGAGATCCCTTCTAAAATGAGTATTAACGAGTATGTAGAAACTGTACAATATTATTTGATTAAAAAGATATATCTGTATTGTACAATTTATTATCTGATTTTAGTTATGATGCAAACAGAATGCGAGATCAAAATAAGGAAGGTGTCCGTGCTAAATTTAGCGCCACTATAATGTTTGTAGAAGATTATCTGTGTAATGTCGTGGCAAAAATGTGGTCGTTCGCGGATCAAGAACAGAACAAACTCACGTTTGAGGTATGGCAAGATAAACAACATGTGGACCATTCGCTAAATGTCTGTTTGCTTAGTGCACGTTAGTTAATAGCGAGAGTTCTTTAAAGTCCTACAGTTTTAAAATTTTCAAAAAATTATTTTGGAAGTATTTTATTTCATATTTAATATTTTTTCAGGTGGTCAAACTAGCACGAGATTTAATTTATTTCGGATTCTACAGTTTCAGTGATCTGCTAAGATTAACGAAGACACTACTGAGTATTTTGGACTGTATTTCAGAAAATGACGCCGCTGACGGGAAGATTCCAACTGGTGAAATTGATTGTAAGTGAATCTTCAGTTTATATGTATTCTAGGTAGAATTAACATGTCACTTCAACGTAACATTCCTTGTACAGCAATATCCTCAAATTATTGTCATCCTTGTATGCACAGAAGAGAAGTACCATTGCACCTTCCTTCTCCCACTGCAATTGTAACATTGTTTAAATAAACGATATTTTAACTCCTAATTTCTGATACCAAAGTCCATAAACTAATATTGTAATCACCCTCCTCTAGTAATAAATTCTCAATGCAATCTGTACATTTATACCTATGATTAAATAGACTTGTTAAGTATGTATGCATAGTATATGTTGAAATACTAATTAATAAATGTTGAAAACTTCTAAAGCTGATTCTGTGGATTCTAAGGAGGCAGGTAATATACAACTATGAATTAATGTTATTTTGTAAAATTGTTATGCACATTACCCTGTAGTCTTTGTAGCACTTAGTTAAGCTCTTCATACTCTTTTAAACTTTCTAATCTCTATCTTTTCTATATTTAAGATAACTATTTCAGTACAGTCTTAAAATTCTATACACTCATTTATAATTCACTTGTGTACATTTTAACACTTTTTTACTCCACCACATTATAAAGTTATATAAAATTGTTTATAACGATTTTAACAGCTGAAGGTGGAGTGTTGAGATGTATTGGAGACATGGGAGCAGTAATGACGAGTCTAACGTTAGGCCCAGCTGGACAAGTATTAGCTGGAAGTTCTTCACCAAGACCAAAACCACTTATGAAGAAAGAATATCCTCTGGTGATGGACACAAAACTGAAGATCATCGAAATTTTACAGTTCATTCTCGACGTTCGATTAGACTACAGGATTTCTTGTTTATTGAGCATTTTCAAGCAAGAATTCGACGAAACGGAAAGAGCTTCTGGTGACTTAAGTCTTGGTCAGAAAACTATAGACTTGGAATTGATAGGCACACAAGCAGAGGGTATATTTGGTAGCAGGTAATACACCACATATTATTTTATCCGTATCACTGGAAAGGTTTTTCATAAACTTCTTTATTCAGTGAAGAATGCGCGGCACTGGATTTGGATGGACAAGGTGGTAAAACATTTCTACGTGTTCTCTTGCATTTGGCAATGCACGATTATCCACCGTTAGTTTCCGGAGCACTGCATCTACTTTTCAGACATTTTAGTCAAAGACAAGAGGTTTTACAAGCTTTTAAACAAGTACGTTTTCTTTTCATATTGACATCATTTTTAAGAGGCAGAAAAATAAATCAAAGTTTTATCAATAGGTACAACTCTTAGTTTCTGACAGTGACGTTGAATCGTACAAACAAATAAAATCAGATCTAGATGTGTTACGACAATCTGTTGAAAAATCTGAGCTCTGGGTGTATAAGTCTAAAGCAGCAGAAGAACATGGCGGTAAAAAGAAGAAGAGTAAAGAAGACGAAGATGAAGGAGCTACTCCTCGGAAAGCTCCTCCTCAATTATCCACATCAAATAAGAAAGGTTCAATAATAATTTTTTATAAAATACTGCCTTTGTTTATTTCTTAGTAAATTATACTTTGTGATTATAGGATCTGCTATAGACTTAGATATTGGTCCCCCACTGCACTCAGACCAAGCAGAAGAATATAAGAAGATTCAACAAATCTTGATTCGAATGAATAAATTGTGCATCCAGACGATAGGTGGTCAAATAAAACCACGAAAACATGAGCAAAGACTTCTACGAAATGTTGGTGTCCACACTGTTGTCTTAGATTTACTACAAGTTCCATTTGACACCAAAGAAGATGTCCGAATGAACGAGTTAATGCGTTTGGCACATGATTTTCTTCAAAACTTTTGCTTAGGCAATCAACAGAATCAGGTTTTATTACATAAACAGTTGGATTTGTTTTTGAATCCTGGTATAAGGGAGGCTCAAACAGTGTGCAGTATTTTTCAAGATAATTCCACTCTGTGCAATGAAGTAAATGCTAAAGTGATACAACACTTTGTACACTGTATAGAAACACATGGAAAACATGTGCAATATTTGAAGTTCCTTCAAACTATAGTTAAAGCTGAAAATCAGTTTATTAGGAAGTGTCAGGAAATGGTCATGCAAGAAGTAAGTAGAGGTTATATATTAATAAATTAATTTAGGCTTCAAAATATTGATTGAATTATTGTACTTTTAGTTGGTTCAAGCTGGCGAAGATGTTCTGGTATTTTATAATGATAGAGCGTCTTTTAATCACTTTGTGGAAATGATGAGATCAGAGAGACATAGGATGGATGAAAGCAGCCCTCTCAAGTATGTTCTACTTCACATCAGATAATTGAATATATCATGTAGTGTGTTTTACTATATACTGTATATTTTAGGTACCATGTGGAGTTGGTTAAACTGTTAGCTTGCTGCACCATGGGGAAAAATGTTAATACCGAAATTAAATGCCACAGTCTTTTACCGCTAGATGATATCGTCGCTATGGTGTCACATCCAGACTGTATACCAGAAGTAAGTTCCTTGATTAGATGTTACTTCCATTGTGACTTAATTATTTAAACATATATGTATTTTCATAGGTGAAAGAAGCGTACATCAACTTCCTCAATCACTGTTACATCGATACGGAAGTTGAAATGAAAGAAATTTACACATCAAATCATATGTGGTCGTTGTTTGAAAAGTCTTTCATTGTAGATATGGGTATAATAGCAACAGCCACACATGATCGTGAACACGCCGATATCGCTCTAGAAAATTATGTGACAGGTTGTCTAATGAATATCATTACGACGTTCTTTAGCAGCCCATTCTCAGATCAAAGTACCACAGTGCAGGTATTGTATTCATCTTGTATTTTATTTTAAAAGAAATTTATTATTTTTATATGAATATATATATATATACTTTTTTAAAAACAAAGTTATGATGTAATTGGCGTAATTATAATTTTCATCACTTCAGAAATATGTTATACAAATTTTTGAAATAATACCAATATTTTTATGGTGGATATGGCACCTTCGTTTTTCAGACATATAAGCACACTAATTTACAGATGTAATTAACAGAGGGAAAGAACGCTTTCTCTCTTAAATGTATTTGTGTGGTTTCATCAGAGCACAAGTTTATTATTTTTACATGCAATGTAACTGTTATTTACTTACGTTAATAACGCTTGCTTTTAATTATATTAATTTACATTAAATTATACTTTCATTTTATTAATTTTTCATAAATTTTGACACAATGAAACGCTATATATACACAGTCAATTAATACAAAGAAAAAATGGAATTTTTTTAATGGTTCAATCAATTTGCAATATTTGTACACACTTTAAAATTCTATATTCATTGTTTCAATACTTAACTGAAGTACGTCAAAATGGAGGTAATTTGTAGAAAACAACACGAGATTATTGAATTAGTTTCAATTAGTATAATTCATATCAGAGTAGAGTATAAGTATAGTGGTGTACGTAAAAGTACTTATAGGAGCATAATCAAACTTCCAGAAGTACTGTAGTAAAATAAGCAGTCATATAATAGATATAAATAACATAACTAATATGTACTTAATCTATGCAAATATTCTATCATTTATTTGATCTGGTAATTTCTTGGTTCTTGCTTTGCATGATGATTTCATTAATTTACATTTATTTAGAAACCAAGTACATATCACGAGCATTTGAAAGCATTTAGTACTTAATTAAAAAATAACACGTTTTATTTTGTTTATTATTTATTAATACGCATATGTTTTGTTTCAATTCATTTACTTGCGTATCATGATAAGCCAGAGTACATTATGAATTAATAACTACAACGATAATATACATATATTTTTTTGATGTGTGCTTGGTAATTGGTGATTGCATCAGCGGCATGTTCTGTGTTTTTGGCATGCAACACCTGGCCTTCTTTGACTCATCAACATTGGTTTACTGGGTCTGGGTGCTGGGTCTATATGGTGGTGGGTTGATTTACTAATAGAAACATCTCCACGAGGCTAGACTCTATTGGAGCATCAAGGAGAGTGACCGGAATACTGATAATAATCTTACTGGCTATGTGAGTACCAAATTAAAAAATGCTCTGTCTATTATGAGCACATGTAAATACTAATAGTGTGATATGAAATTAAAGAACATTTGGTTTGAGATTTGAAATTAAAATGCAGTACTTAACAATGTTACTTTGTGTAGTTAAACAGTACATGTGATATCTTACAGTTCAAATGTTTGATGTAGATACTTTTATTGTAAATACACGTGTTTGTGTGTAATTCAATAACATGGGTATATTGTACACTTGGGGGCACCGTAGACATTTTTGAAGAAAATGTGGAGGAAAGAGGCCTTCAGTTGGTATATTTTCAAACTTTCAAATTTAGAAACTTAGAAACTTAGAAATTTAGAAATTTGAAAATTTGAAGATTTGGAAATTAAAGACAGCCTTCAAGATTACAGATAAATGGTGGAAGGCTTTTTCTTCTGCACCCATTTTTATTCAAAAGAAGTCAATGCTGCATCCAAGTGTATATCACAGTAAGAATGAAGAAAATAGTTAAGAGCATAAGCACACCTGTGCTTTATTATTCTTCAATTGGGTTGTAGTATTCTTTTTTAGATTTTAAGTACATTTATAGATTGTATGTCTTTCTGGGAAGTTATACTAACATACTCACTGTCTTTAATGAATGAAACAAGCTCTCTACTTAAACTTCTTCAAGTACTAACCATAGGTTTTCAATTGTATTTGGGATATTCTTTTATATCTGTCTTTTTATACTTCATGCAGCATGAATCTGTGGTTTAATATCTACAGAACAGTATCTTTATACAAATTGCTTGGCAATGAGTGTGTTATATGAAATGCAAAATAACAGAGTCAGTAATAAATTTTTAAGATGTATGCATCTGATGATAGATGCTTAACATTTCAAGGCTTTAAATAAGATAAAAACATAACAAAGGCTATAGTAATACAGTTTATACCACTTTGAAAATTATATTTTTAATTAAGTTATTTGTTTTAGTAATTTTATATCAGTATTAAACGGTATTTAAATTTTTTAAACAGACACGGCAGCCTATTTTTGTTCAGCTGCTTCATGCAGCATTTAAAGTTTCACAATGTGCATGGCTAAATGCTGGCCAAAGATTTAACGTGGAAAATTGTATACGAACACTGTCAGAAGTCGGTAAGTGAAAATTTCCTTTTATATTTGTTGACAAAAACATGAGGCAAAAGTTGTGCCCTTGTTTATATCTATTTTATAAATAAAAAGTAAACTTTGTTTTACTTCTCAGCCAAAGGCAGAGGCATAGCTATTCCAACTGACTTGGAAAGTCAAGTTGCTTCTATGTTCAATAAAGCTGCAATGCTTAGTAGACAAACAAGTAAATGGCTTCAAGCTGCAAAACAACCAAAAATAGAACGCACACAAAGTCAGGTAATGATAAATGTTGATTCAAAATTATTTGGGATTTCATCAATTTTTTATTAAACATATCTGTTATAATTACAAATGTAACTGACATAATCTCTGAATACATAGAGTGATTTAATTTGTGAGGAAGATGATAGTAAAACTGAGGTAAAAATCATTCATAAATCTCTGCGCTTCATTAGATTATTATAACTGTAGTATAGTGTAAAACAGTGATGGGCGAATACATTCTTAAAATTTTAATATTAAACAATTTTAAGATGATAATTCATATTGGTACCCATAAGTCCTTTGGTAGGTACTGCCCATCACTGGTGTAGAAAAACGACTGGGAAGTAGTATACATAGAATTACTGAAAAATATAAAGTGCATTATAAAATAGAGTAGATTTATATTTGATCCACTACAGGATCAAATAAATCAAACTGTTTATTTTTATTTTTGTAGCATTCATACAATTAATTTCTATTAAATTGCACTATAGAAGAAACGTTTATATGTACATTATAAGTGGTCCTTATGGAAAATATATTTTTATTTAGCTAATGCGTTTGGATCGCAGTATCATAGAAGGGTTACAAGACATAGTATCATTATTGGAAGAGCAACTGAAACCACTGGTTCAATCAGAATTGTCGTTATTAGTGGATATACTCTATCGACCAGAGTTACTGTTCCCAGCTGCGACTGACGCTAGGAAGAGATGCGAAAATGGTGGATTTATTAAAAGGTAAATAACAGATTGTAATTAAAAACGCTTCAGTAGTGGCAATGATTTTCAAATTATTCTTTAGATTAATTAAACACACGGAAAAGCTGCTTGAAGAAAAAGAAGAGAAACTATGCGTGAAGGTGTTGAGAACCCTTAGGGAGATGATGGCCATTGATCCTGAATATGGAGAAAAAGTGAGTTTCATAGATTCGTGTTCTGCATGAAGTTACAAGAATCATTTGTCATACAAATAAAAATTCATGACATTGTGGAAAAGGGCATTCAGTTGTTTCCGACAAAACATTGATATTAATTAGTAGTGACAAATCCTTCAGGCATGCTTAACATTTACTAATTGCTTCAACGTTTCAATGATGGACACTTTGGAATGTGCTGGTAATGGCTGTTTTCTAACGAACAAGTATCGTTCTTAGCACATGTAATGATTCTAGTATCTTTGAAGCTTACAAATGACTTCAGAACAGAGATGTGCGCTTATGTATCATGATATCGCTGTAGTGATACTATTTGAAGAAAGATTCAGAACTAGCTTTGAGAGCATGCCTTCTGTGACTAGGATTTGCTGCTATTAATTAGCACCGCACCTCGTACAACTGATTAAATATATTACTGTTCTAAGTTCTAGTTGAACCTGAGTTTACAAAAATTTGTGTCTCCATCCATTTGTACTTTACATGTTCGTTGAAAAGCTAAATGCCCATATGTTGTCCGCACACTTTAGATGAACGCGATTAAAAGTTTTTTAGTTTAATCGCGAGAGATAAAATATAATAAAAGCTTTATGAGTACACTACAAAGACAATAAAGTAACAATGGGTGAGTAGGTTTCGTAGAATAGAAATGTAGGTAAAGATGTTTTCATGCTGCAAACGAAGAGCGAAGGTATCTCGGAAGAAGAAGAAACACAACAGAAGAACGAGTCACAAGTTGGAACAGGCTCTGTTGATGAGTCTGAGACTCGTCCAATGACTCAACAAGAGCGGGTAAAAATTAAAGTAGATAAGAACGGTAATTTGTGGGCACAACGTATATAAATTGGCAACATCAATTTTATCTTATATTACTGACAACTTATTACACCGTCACTCTGTCGTTATTTACTATATATTTGTACAAGTTTTAATGCTAAATATTTTTTATTTCTGTATAAGGATATAGGACGTTTACAAAAATTATTTTCTTTAATCACAGTAAATATGTATGCTTTATGATTTGATGAAGAATACAAACACATATTAGTAGTTGCTTGCAACAAATTATTTGATTATATTACATCAATATATTTGAAGAAATTTGCTTAAATGAAACACATAATGTACGTTGTGTAGGTATCTTATGCATGTGCTTGATGAATTTTCTTCTATTCACTTTAATTCATTCCTTACTCTATCATCTTCTTGCATATCTTTTTAATAACTAGTATTAAGTACAATTATAGGTATGTGATCTCTTTTAAATAATTCTGATTTATGATGGGAGATTATTATTTGTTTTATTTAACCTAGATGTTTAAGTAAAGATTCATGTAAGTTGAATAACTTCAACATATGAATTTGTGACAATTTTTAAATTATTGTTTTACTTAATGTAAACTATTTTTTCAAGTACAGTATGGGCATAGAGTTTAGAAATAGTGTGATATTTCAATATGTATATACATATACTTCTATTCCAGATAGAGTGTACCAATACGTCTGTAGATTTATTACCACACACATCACACACAGTTTTGATAGTAATAGAGACAGTGTAGAATTTAGAAATAGAATTCATTTTTTTGTAATTAATTAGCATCAATACTGTAAAAATAATACAAGCATACTGTTCATATTTTATTGACTTTACTGTTCTTCATTTAACATGTTATACATTTTAAAGCACATAGCTTACAAAGTTTATGTGTGATCTCTTTTTGCATTTGTGCTAAAAATTTTCAAAGTACATAAACTTTCAATGTTGTGCATTTCATTGACTTGTACATGTATAAATTACATTTAAAAATCTGGTACCAACAGATTGTGAATTGCACAAGTTTTCACATTCTTGCACAGAGTATGTAAATACACAATTATTGAATTAATAATTAGGCTGATACTACATACAATGCACTGATATTCCCTTTATGACATATTGGAACTTTTCTACATTTCTTTCGCACGATGTATTGGTACATCTCAATTAATCAAAATTTGCATCATTGTGTTAATGTACATTTACTTTCCTTCTTCCCCAGGGAGATGCTTTAAGACACAATCTTTTGACACGTTACTTTGGGAAGTCTTTCATTCAGAAGCCAGAGAATGTGGAAATTGGAGTTTCTCATACTGCTCCAGTCACTCATGGACCAGGAGGTATAAATTAAAGCCCAGAAGATGATTTATTTTATTACAAAAAGTATAATAAATCCATACTTTTTTACAGCTAAGCTTCTAAGTCGTGCAGGTCGCACCCTGCATGAGATTCAAAGCCATCTTGATCGTGAAGGAGCTTCAGATTTGGTGGTGGAGTTAGTAATTAAAAGTGTACACTCTCCAAGTATATTTGTGGAAGCTATAGAACTTGGTATTGCACTGTTAGAAGGAGGAAATCCTATCATACAAAAGAGTGTGTTCAACAAGTTGATGGGTGGAGATTTGAGTCAATCATTTTTCAAGGCAAGTTATTATTATATCCATTTCTATTATGCAGAAATTAAAGAACAAGTAATTTTTAGGTGTTTTATGACAAGATGAAAGATGCACAGCAGGAAATTAAATCTACTGTCACAGTGAACACTTCTGACATAGCAGCTAAAGCTCATGAGGACAAGGAGCAGAGCAAAGAAATAGAGAAAATATCAAGGAAACGTACTTCAGGTAAAAGCGATATTTCAATAACTTGCAATTATATTTGCTTATACTGTCTTTGTTTGAATAGGGAAACCCAATGGAATTGTAATAACCGATGAATTACGGGAAGAGTTGAATCAAGCTGCGTCGTCTACTGTCCAGGCATACGCAAATGTAAGGAATCTTGCGTCTGGTGAAGATACAACGAACAATGCAGCGCTTGGAAACGCGTTAGAAGATATGATAGCTGAAAAATTGGAGAGGCATCGCAGTGGAACGACTGGGGCAGAAAGGGACGAAGGACAATTGAGTGCAAAAGTTTTAGTAATGCAACCGATATTACGTTTTTTGCAACTGCTGTGTGAAAATCACAATCGCGATTTACAGGTAATTCTTTCAGGTTCCATATTTCTTTCAATATTATGACAATATTAAAACTTTATTGTTTTTATAGAACTTCCTGCGTAATCAAAATAACAAGACGAACTTTAATTTAGTATCTGAAACGCTCATGTTTTTGGACTGCATCTGTGGCTCAACGACTGGTGGATTAGGTTTATTAGGATTGTACATAAATGAACATAATGTTGCGTTAATTAATCAGACTCTGGAAACATTGACGGAGTACTGTCAGGGACCATGTCACGATAATCAGAATTGTATTGCGACCCACGAATCAAATGGATTAGATATAATAACTGCCTTGATTTTGAACGATATTAATCCTCTGGGAAAAACTAGGATGGACTTAGTGTTAGAGTTGAAGAATAATGCGAGTAAATTGCTGTTAGCTATAATGGAAAGTAGGGGGGATAGCGAAAACGCAGAGAGGATTATGTATAACATGAATCCGAAACAATTAGTGGACGTAGCATGTCGTGCATTTCATCAGGAGTCTTTGGATGACGATGGCGACATTGATGATTCATCTACGGATGGTGAAGAAGGAGTGTCGCCCAAAGAAGTAATATTTCTAATAGAAGTTTTATAAATCAAACCATCTTGATACTAAATGTTAATACTTTTCAGGTTGGACACAATATATATATTTTATGCCACCAATTAGCACAGCACAATAAAGAGTTGGCATCAATGTTGAAGCCATCTGAGCTAAGCAGTGCAGATCCAAAAGTTAACAAAGCATTGCAATACTATGCAACCCATACAGCTCAAATAGAGGTACAGCATTCATAGTTGTTTGATCAGTTCATATTCTTATAAATATAAAATTTATAAATTTGTTACAGATTGTTAGAAATGACAGAACATTAGAACAAATCGTGTTCCCAATTCCTGAAATATGCGAACTTATTACTTTAGATACAAAAATTAAAGTATTACATACTACAGAACGTGATGACCAGGGATCAAAAGTTTCTGACTTCTTTGAGAGGACTGAAGACATGTTTAATGAAATGAAATGGCAGAAAAAACTTAGAGGTAGTATAATAGAAGTATAACCTAACCTAACCTAGAATTTGGGTTGCCAAAGTTGTTTATTGAAAATATATTTTTTAATATATAAATGTAATTTTCTAGGACAACCAGTACTATTTTGGATGAGTAGTTATATGTCTTTATGGAGCAATATTTTATTTAACTGCGCAGTACTCATAAACCTCATAGTAGCTTTCTTCTACCCGTTCGTGGATTCTGTGCCTAGTAAGTTTCTGTATTTATAAAATGCTAATTGTTAAAGTAGAACATATTTTTCCTCTGGCATTTCAGAATTAAGTTCACACTTATCCGCTCTCATTTGGACGGTAATGCTTTCGTCGGGTGTTATCGTCGTCACGCTACCTCGAGAATCTGGTATAAGAACTCTGGTAGCTTCAACAATACTACGATTAATTTTTTCGATAGGACCAGAACCAACGTTATGGTTACTCGGTTTTGTTACGGTAAATTTACAAACTATGCATCAAAAATATATATTCACAAAATTTTCTTCACTATATAATGATGATGATTTTTAGGTTGTATTAAAAGTTGTACATCTTATAAGCATTATAGGTAATCAGGGAACTTTGACAAAAAGTTTAGAGCAAATAGTGACGAACGTTGAACTTCTGTATCATATATTTTATCTAATATTTTGCGTTCTTGGCATTTGTATGCATCCGTTTTTCTACTCAGTTTTAGTAAGTATTGAAATGTTAATAAATTTATGTTGACCAAATTATTTAACTTCTGTCGTTTACAGCTGTTTGATGTAGTATATCGGGAAGAAACCTTGCTCAATGTAATCAGATCTGTCACAAGAAACGGAAGATCCATTATACTCACTGCCGTATTGGCATTAATTTTAGTTTACATGTTTTCTATCATTGGATTCATGTTCTTTAAAGACGATTTCTTAGTGACTGTTGATGAAGATATTGTATGTAAGTGGCTGTTCCAACATTTATATTCTTACAGTCGTATGTGATGTATGATATTTGTAACGAGTTAAAATTTGATGGTTCATAGCATCATATACCAAAGGAACCGCAGAAACATGTGATGCTTCAGGCACTGAAAAATGCGAGGCAACAGAAACTGTGTCCCGATATATTCGTGAAGGTATTTTAAATGTTTTATGTACGGCTATCATTATTTTTATTTCTTCACGTTCTTTACTTGAACGGATCAAAGATTTTAGGTTAGGTTTTTTAGTTAACTCTCCTTGATTCTATTATTCAAAAGAAGTTGATGTTCCTTCACAGTGCTCATATAAATATATTTGCATACACAATAAATTATTACTTTTCTGATTACATAGTTAATGAAAAAGACAGTCAAGCAGAAGTAATTAACGTTGGCGGAGAATTGAAGGAACGAGCATGCGATTCGCTGGTGATGTGCATTGTTACAACCTTAAATCAAGGTTTAAGAAATGGTGGCGGCATCGGAGATATTTTACGAGCACCTTCCAGTACTGTAAGTACATAATTAAAAACAATAATAAAGTATCATTATTCACATTAATCACATTGCAGGAACCACTGTTTGTTGCCAGAGTCGTATACGATTTACTATTCTTCTTCATTGTAATAATTATTGTTCTGAATCTTATCTTCGGTGTTATCATCGATACATTTGCTGATCTGAGATCAGAGAAACAGCAGAAGGAATTGATTTTGAAGAACACATGCTTCATTTGCGGTACGTCTGTTTAGCTTTATCTTATGATTTTCTTCTTGTTATACGTGATGTTTCTTTTACAGGACTGAATAGATCATCCTTTGATAACAAGACGGTTTCGTTCGAAGAACACGTGAAACACGAACATAACATGTGGCATTATCTGTATTTCATTGTTTTAGTGAAAGTGAAAGATCCCACAGAATTTACAGGGCCTGAGTCTTACGTGTATGCTATGGTGAAGGTAATAGTCCATAGAGCTTCAAAAAATTGAATTGTGCTTTAACTTTTAAGCTCTGTGTACTTTTTACAGGATCGAAATCTTGATTGGTTCCCGAGATTAAGAGCCAAATCGTTGGCAGCTGATGAGGGAGAGGGTGAACAAGTAGAATTAAGAAGTTTACAATCTCAGTTAGAGTCTACGCAACAATTGGTGAAATGTTTATCTCAACAACTTACTGAGCTTCGTGATCAGGTAAGTCATTAAATATCATATTAAAAAATGTTTATATCCCTTAATTCGTTTGATTATTTCATATCAGATGACGGAGCAACGAAAGCAGAAGCAACGGCTAGGCCTTTTGAATTCTGCGTCAGCATTTTTACAGAATGTACCCATGTAAATCTGAAATAAGTATATTTCAAGATTTTATTTTTAATCATCCACGAATCTCAATTTGATACTCCAACGTAATATTTAATGAATAAGTTTGTGTGTTCTTAAGAAGCATTTAAAGACATTGGGAAGAAGATGCATTTGTGTAGATTTGTTCCTAATTTCGAAAATAATAATTTGTATAGGATAGCACAGATGATTTTATTAAGGATAACATTAATTTTTACAGGTTTCGTTAGGTAAATTGTGTTAGGTAAACATGTTCGGTGAATAAGTTTTGTTGGTATGTGTTACTTAACCTCAAAAAATCGTGTAACATTTCGTATTAAGTAAAATGGCACCATGATAATTTTAATCTTTACACGGATCAGCCAAACGCGCGCATGGAAGTATGATACTATGAATGTAACATATCTAAAGTTCTTATCAAGGTTTTAATATTTCTACTACCTGTTTTAAACCGGTAGCATAACCTTAAAACAGGTTTTTAAGAATGTTGAAGCTTTTATCCATGTAATGGATTTGTAAAATAAATGTCTGATATTTCATTTCATTAGTAAGTTCGTTCGGTTGGTTGTGTTTATAGTCTTTTAAGTTTGTAAAATAAGCTTACTTTCTCATACATAGTTTACTTACATTTTAATCACTAATTTTTGTGCATATAGTTTTATAAATAATCGGATTACGTATTGAAAGATTTTTCATTACTTTGATAATGGATGATTTCTTTCAATATTAAGATATCTTTAAGAAACAATGTATTTGTTTATGAATTCTTAAATAGATGGGTAGTTACCCCGTAAATTAAAAAAGCAATAGGGAATTAAAGGAAAGGTAATTGATAGGTAAATGTTATAAAATTTCACAGTTGTCTATTTTCCTGATGTCTGACGCTAACAGATAGATAAATTAATTGTAGCGGAATAAAGAAGAAATATGGATACGCGATTAAAATAGAGATTCAATCGTGTAGCAGATTCATTGCTAGTAGATATTTATAGTGAATCAATGTCAATAAATATCGTTATTTAGTTCTTAAATAGATGAAAATTAAGAGATAATCCTTATATTTAAAATATCTTGAATGGAAATATATTGAAGTTATTCTCACTAAGCACCGATAATCTTCAGTGCAGTGATTATGGTTTTTATTCATTCAAATATATTTTCCACTAACACATTTAGATGCTGTTACACACCCTCGTCTCTCTGTAACATTTATACATATATGTATGTGAATATATATTGTACGTTAATTATCTTGTTTTTAATAGCAGAACTCTATGTAATGTATATACGCATACATCTTACTAGATGTTATTCACATTTCCGTGACTCGTACATATAAGTACAACAATCAAAACGTGAATTGTTGTTTCCTTCTGTGCCAACTTTACCAGATGTTTATTACGAGTTGTTATTTAAGATTTTCAACGTTCATTCAACAGAAATGAATCGCAAACGTGTTACCTCTAGATGTACATGTTTCATCTTCCGATTGTATAATGTATAAATAAGTATGTAGATTGTATTAAAACTTGTATGTGAATAAATTGTCCTTTTTTTATTAAACTTGTGTGCGTAAATTTTCTTTACTAACTTAATTTTATATTTGAATAAAACAGTTCTCATAGGTGATTCCTTTCTTAAAAAAGAGCTTACCTGCAAAATTTGACGTGATTTAGAATATGATTGTTTTTTAAGAAAAACCAAATTGATAATTTATTTAACAGAAAAGGAACACGTGGCGCCATCTAGCGGCAATATACTGGAACTAATGAAAGTGCTGTTTCAAAACCGTGTAGTTCACCCTGATCGCCGGAGAGATGGCGCCACTAGTTCGATTTTTTTTTTAAATTAATTTAATATCGATTTTAATGATTAATATACAATATATTTATTATATATTCATTAATATTGACTTTATACTGCTTGTAATATATTCTGTGGGTCCGAAAATGCGGATTATGTGTTCAGAACACTTTTTTATTGAACAGTGCCCCCGCTCACTGCTAGATGGGACAGTGGTACAATTTTCGGTGAAAGCGCGCGAAAATATTATGAGTAAAACTTTTAAAATACTTTCCGCCTAATAAATATACTTTAATTAATACACAGATAGTTACATAACTAACAAGGTAAGTAGTTTATTTCATGTTTGAGGCTCAGGTAAAAAATGATATACATAAAATGGATTTCGTTTCACTTTATTCATACTTTATATGAAACAATTGACTATTTATTGTGACTTAATTATACGCGACTAGTACATACATGTAACATGTATCTTTTCATCGTAAGGTAGACGTGTCTTGTGCAAAACCGGTACATTTGTTTAAGAAACAGGTCGCATTACAATCGTTGTGAGGATGTGACAGATTTATGCTTTTAAATAATCGTGTACCTTCTTTGCGTCGTAATTCTATTTCCCTTCTTCTCCGGTCGAAAACGATTTTTACATAATCTTATTCAACATTGGTTAGCGGATCTTTAACTATCAGCACTTCAATTATTTTCAAAAGTATTAGAGGTACAAAATAATATTTTTTGTAAAGAGAACTTGTTAGAAATTTGGGGACTTGAGGATTTTGGGGGTTCAAGAATTTCGATTTTGGGTTTCTGGGTTTTTAGGTTTTTGGGCTTTTGGGTTTTCGGGATTTTGGGTTTTCGGGATTTTGGGTTTTCGGGTTTTCGGATTTTTGGATTTTTGGGATTTTAGGTTTTTGGGATTTTGGGTTTTCGGGTTTTTGGGATTTTGGGTTTTCGGGTTTTCGGGTTTTTGGGATTTTAGGTTTTTGGGATTTTAGGTTTTTGGGATTTTGGGATTTTGGGATTTCGGGTTTTCGGGTTTTCGGACTTTCGGGTTTTTGGGATTCTGGGTTTTCGAGATTTTGGGTTTCTGGGTTTTTTGGTTCTTGGGTTTTTCGGTTTTTGGGTTTTTGGGTTTATGGAGTTTTGTGTTTTTAGGTTCTTGGGTTTTTGGGTTCTTGGGTTTTTGGGTTTTTGGGTTCTTGGGTTCTTGGGTTCTTGGGTTTTTGTGTTTTTGGGTTTCTGGGTTTTTGTGTTTTGGCGTTTCTGAATTTTTGGGTTTTTGGGTTTCTGGGATTTTGAATTTTGGGTTTCAGAATTTTAGTGCTTTGGAGATTTTCGTATTTTCGAGTGTTAAGTTTTACAGACTCATCAAGAATTTACAAATTTCACAATTTGTAATTTTACAATTTGAGAATTACAGTACTTAATTCATCGATTTCATCATTCCACAATTCCAAAAATAGTTTCGAAGTGCTAATAATTATCGATTCAATATGCATTTAAAATGACCAGAGCAATTTTTTCTCGCGAAATATCGCTCACCGATTTAAAACACAAGTCACTTAAATCACATGTCTCAGTTCGGTCCGATATCAGTTTCATTTATTAAAAGATGTGCGTCCATGCCTTTCTCTCAATATCTCACCTCTTTTTAATACGCCGTCCATTAATTACACTGTGACTTTCATCTCTGTTTCGACGAGGTTGCGGAAAAGAGACCGTCGAACATCGCTCTTCGAGTTAGTTCATTTATTATACAAATCTTAATATTTTAGCGTCAATCGTTCGACTTCGATTCATTATATCGATCATTAGTAACCTTCTGTTATAAAAAAGTATTAAAAATCGAATCGAAATCACGTTACTATTTTATTCGGTGAACAATGTTATTTGTTATTGAGGTCGAATAACGCGAATGCGGGTTAAAGTATAGGGAAAGAAATAGGGGATATTATTAATAATAATTATGCGCTAAAGTTGATAATGTAGAAGGTTCGTAATGATGCTGTGAATCTGATACGTTATCAGATTATTTTAAACGCGGTTCGTTTTAATGACACATTTCAACAGCCATTAAATTCTTTGGCAATATAAAGTGCTCTTGTAAAATTCGGTATTGTCTGATCAAATCAGATTGTTAAACGGATAATAATTATAGTGGTACGAATATTAGAGGTATGCAAAAGATTTACTCCTGTTCTTTTCTTTTTTTTTGGAATATAAAGACTTTTCTTTTATACTTCAAAATATTCATTAATATGAACATTTTAATTATTGTGTAAATATTTAAATATTAAAAAAATTTCAAATATATTTAAAAAATGTTTAAAAACTTTAACAGTGTAAATTTGAAAGATAAACATTTTTATATGAATATTTTAAATATTTTCAAATCTATACTGTCAAAATTTTGATTTTAAAATATGAACTTGATCTATTTTGATATATTTTCTTCTAAAAGTTATTAAAAGTAATTATTTTATGTCTTTGAAATATAACATAATATAAATAATTGTTTAAAATGAAATATAATATAATTGTTTAACAATTTTCAAGTTGAAACAAAAATTTATATTAATGAAGGAAGACAAACTTTTGCATACATTTAATATTTGTTGTACATAATATATTTTTGTTTAATTAATATATGTATCTAAAATAATAATTATTTAACGTCTTCTAGGAAAATGATTTCGACTACAAAATAAATAGAAACTTGATGGAAATTGTTCACACTGCCCGATGATACTTCTCTTCAATTCAATTGTTTATCTTTTCTGTTGTTAGTTTAATATCCTTTTTACTCGATACGTATATTAAACATCGATGTTCTAGCATTTATTTCCAGCTTACTTTAATAATCAATCGCGTTCCCGAAAGTCGATCGATTATTTGTGGAGGGAGGTGAATTTAATTAGAGTGACACGTTCGTTGAAAATTGAAAATGTTGAATATTTGTTGGGGGATGAAATTAATAGGAAGTGAGGTAATAGGTGTTTTGGATATTGGAATTTTGGGATTTTTGGAGTTTGAGAAATTGGAATTTTTAATTTTGGGATTTTGAGAAATTAGAATTTTGGGAGTTTGGGACTTTGAGAAATTGGAAATTTGGGAGTTTGGGATTTTGAGATATTGGAAATTTGGGAGTTTGGGACTTTGAGAAATTGGAAATTTAGGAGTTTGGGATTTTGAGATATTGGAATTTTAGGAGTTTGGGATTTTGAGAAATTGGAAATTTGGGAGTTTGGGATTTTGAGATATTGGAAATTTGGGAATTTGGGATTTTGAGAAATTGGAAATTTGGGAGTTTGGGATTTTGAGAAATTAGAATTTTAGAAGTTTGGGATTTTGAGAAATGGGAATTTTGGGAATTTGGGATTTTGAGAAATTAGAATTTTGGGAGTTTGGGACTTTGGGAAATTAGAATTTTAGGAGTTTGGGATTTTGAGAAATTGGAAATTTAGGAGTGTGGGATTTGGAGAAATTGGAAATTTAGGAGTTTGGGATTTTGAGATATTGGAAATTTGGGAGTTTGGGATTTTGAGATATTGGAAATTTGGGAGTTTGGGATTTTGAGAAATTAGAATTTTGGGTGTGGGATTTTGAGAAATTAGAATTTTGGGAGTGTGGGATTTTGAGAAATGGGAATTTTGGGAATTTGAGATTTTGAGAAATTGGAATTTTAGGAGTTTGGAAGTTTGAGAAATTGGAATTTTGAGAAATTAGAATTTTGGGAGTTTGGGATTTTGAGAAATTAGAATTTTGGGAATTTGGTATTTTAAGGAACTGGAATTTTCAATTTTGAAATTTTGAGAACTTGGAATTTCTAATTTTGGGAGCCCGAGAAATTGGAATTTCGGAAAAATATAAAAAAAAGATGTAAATTCGATAAACTTTCGGAAGAACGCGATAACAATTAATCGAGAAGTGCCCTGGGCACACGAAGCTCGTTCGTTAAAATACAATCTGTCTCGAATCGCGTCACGTTACGATCGATCATCGCGTAATGTACAATAATATCGATATCTTAACGTAGTGATACTCTGTACAAATTCTACCAGTGCTACCACGTATGTACAATGTTCTATATAATATAGAATTTCTTACACGTTTACTTTGGCATTTTTGCGTGTGAGAGGTGACGCGTGGTTCTCGCTACTTCAAATCCGTGCATCGCGTTTTTTCTGTTGTTTTCTTATCTCCTTTTTATCAATACACTTGCTATATGCATACTTCTATCTGCGGAAGGAAACGTCGAAATGAAGAATAAATTATTATTATCAAGGTTTAAGGACAACTAATTATTTTTAATATTCAAGGATAATTATTAATACTGAAACATAATTTAGTACATTTATTCTTTAACTCGATGAAAATCAATTTTGATTTCGAGGAACTTTAACAAAATGTATGTCGACAAAATGTCCGCCTAATAAGAAAATGGCGGAGAGGTCATGTGACAAGTTTGGTAGTTTCAGTATTAAAATTTTTAATACTAAAATATTTGCAGTCTTTTTCGTACAATTACGTTCATGAAATTTAATTAAAATTTCAGAGTATTTTATCGAATTTAAATATTGATTTTGTGAATAAAAAAGTGTTCCTAGTATTTTTATTTATTGAGTTTTTAATTAAAAGTTTACGAGAGAAAGAAAATTTAAGGGTGTAGAATTTTTTTCAATTTGACTTCATTCGTAAATAAAGAAAATAAATATTTTTAGAAAGTTTATTTATTGATTTTTAAATTTAAATTTGACGTGAAAAAAACATACAAATATATAAAATACTATTTATTGAAATAGCGAGTATATTTCACTTCGTTTAAAGAAACATTTTTACAATATTAAAGGAAATTAATTATAGAAAAATGCTTCTAAAAAATTTTAAAAAGTACTCTATCACTAAAAATGTAAAATATTTCTTTGCAAGACGTTTCGTTCTGTAGATAAATTTATGTATACACGTATATATAATATTTACATGCTCTATTAGACTCTTACAGGTAAAACGAGTGGTATACACCAAGTGATTTTCAATATATATATATTTATATTTCTCTCTCTTTTCTCTGATTTGTATATCTCTTATTTCCTTTATGTATATAATTATATATAATTCGACTAGATCGCTGAATTCCAAAATTTCGTATAGTTAATTATACTTCGATTACGTTCCTGTAGTCGGGTCAATTATTGACCTCGTTTATTGCACTAAAATTTCGAATTTCGAAAAAATATCCTAATCATTTTGGAATTCTTTCTTTCTTCGTCATCGGATGCTCGTGTTTGGTTTTAAACAAGTTTCGTTTATTGTATTTTTTAAAATCGTTAACAAATTTCAATATTCCTGTAATCATTGTTAATTAACAGTTAAAATTTTTATGTCCACTTGAATTTAATCATTGTTCGTTAATTATAAAAATAATTTGTATTCCATCACAATGTAGTTTTATTATGCATCATAATTGTTAATTAACCAAAATCATATTCAATCATAATATTGATTTAATGTCCATCATGATTATTAATTATCAAAAATAATTTACATTCAATAATAACAATGATTTAACGTCCATCATAATAATAGTCAATTAATTATAAAATTAATTTACATTCAATCACAATATAAATTTAACTTTCGTCATAATCATTAATTAATAACAAATTCATGCTTTACGACATTATGAATCTGACGTCAATCAAAATGATTGTTAATTACCAATACAAATAAATCATAATTTAGAACAATATTAATCTGACGTCCGTTACAATTATTATTAATTAATGATAAGAACAATTCACATTTTATGACAACGTGGATTTGACATCCATTACAGTGATTGTTAATTAATAATAAAAATAGTTAACAGTGTATGACAATATGGAGCTGACATCCATTACAGTGATTGTTAATAACAAAAACGATGTACAGTTTACATCCATTATAGTGATTGTTGGTTAACAATAGATAGTTCAAACTTGATGATAACATAGACTACAATAACTCAATTAAAGCTATTTCCCACTTGACATTTCCATGTCTGTTAATTAATAATAAAAACAGTTCTATGTAAAAACATGGACTCGACATTCATTCTCATGACTGTTAATTATTAACAAAAACAGTTCTATGTAAAAACAAAAAGTTGACATTGTTTACTACAACTGATATTAACATTCATAACTATTAATTAACAATGAAACTTCAGATTCAATAACAATATGCGCCAAAAGATCTAAAATAAAACAAAATGGCGAAACACGAGCTCCGATGGTACTTAAATGACGTACTTATGTACACACACAACGAAAACCTTAGGCTCGTTTGTATAGTTTGTTTCTTATTGAACAGGAACGTGTATGGACACGGTATGTTGAGCTCGTGTACTCAACAACCGGCGTAAGCGAGGAGTATCGTGAAGAGAATTAGGATTCTCGCCACTTGTGGTATACTTCCGGTCGAGGCATCGATCACGTGATTCGGAGCTGGCGATGGCCCACTTTTGTGAGTGTTCGCAATCACCGTTTGGCTCCTCCATTTCATCGTATATTCCGGTGCTGTTCTCCCTAGTGCTTGCAATCTGTTAACAAATAACTTCTTTCAAATTTATGGATAATTTTTTTGTTTTTTTCGAGACAACTTTATTATATGTATTTAATTTTTGCAGAGCAACATGATGTTAATCTTTTTTAATTTGGTTGCATCTAATCTTTTTTTTACAGACTTTGATGTTATTTATTTAGGACAGTTTGGGGTTAATTTATTTAGGACAATTTGTCATTTAATTTCGTGATATTTAATTTCATGACATTTAATTTCATCACATTTAATTTCATGGCATTTAATTTCATGATATTTAATTTCATGACATTTAATTTCATTACATTTAATTTCATCACATTTAATTTCATCACATTTAATTTCATCACATTTAATTTCATCACATTTAATTTTATTACATTTAATTTCATCACATTTAATTTCATGTCATTTAATTTCATTACATTTAATTTCATGTCATTTAATTTCATTACATTTAATTTCATGGCATTTAATTTCATGATATTTAATTTCATGCCATTTAATTTCATGATATTTAATTTCATGACATTTAATTTCATATCATTTAATTTCATGACATTTAACTTCGTCAACATAGATTGATGTCAATATTACTTAATTTCTCAGAGTAACATGATATAGTTTAATTTTTCCACAACTTGTCATTTAATCTTTTTAAAACAATTTCCAAAATTCTTTCTCTACTTGTTTTATTAAAAATGTATACTTACACATATAAACACATTATTAATTAATAATTATTTATTCAGTAAATTACTACAAAGTACCTCAAAAAAAACCTGATTTATTTAAATCATAAATGAAGACCCAAATAACAAAACCAGCAAAATTTCCTCAACCACAATTCTCCCACCTCAGAAATTCTTTCCACAGTAACAAAGTTGACGTAACTTGCTCCTCCATCTATCAGACAATTCTTCACGATCGATTTTTGAAGAGCGCCCGCACAAAGGAAGGTCTTATAAATCGGCCCAATAATTCAGCCAGCGGTTTCGTAATAGCGGAGTCAAAAGTGTCACGAAACTGTCGTTAAAGGAAGACGAAGTTTCTCCGGCTTCCGGTTTATCACTCGACTCACCTAACCACCACGGTGTTCGTTTTCCACGGCAGTGTGAAATTTTTGTGCGTGTCCCGCGAGCAGAATGTGTGCAATCTCGGCCCCGCTGGATCACCGTTCTTGCTGTATTCGTGTATCGTCAGATTCCAGGCGGTGCAAGGACCTGGAACGAGAAAAATGAATGGGAAACTCGGGGAGTGAGATTTTAGAAATGGCTGATGAGAATTTTTCTAGAGATAAGCGAAACGTTTCTTGCGTTGTTTCGTTGTTTCGTGAGAGGAGGAGCCATTGTGGAGGAGGATTTTGCGGAGGATTGTGGTTTGGGAGATTTGCAGAGAGAGTTTTGGAATATTTTAGAATTCTTCACATTTTTAGATATTTGTAACTGTGGGATTAGGTTTGGAGATTTTCGAGTTTTTGGAATTTGAATTTTAGAACTTTGGTGTTCTTGGAATTTTGAGAAATTTGGGATTTTAGGATTTTACTGGAATTTTTAGAAATTTGGAATTTTAGGATTTTACTGGAATTTTGAGCAATTTGGGATTTTAGGAATTTCTTGGAATTTTGGGAGATTTAGTATTTTAGAATTCTTGGAATTTTGAGAAATTTGGGATTTTAGGATTTTACTGGAATTTTTAGAAATTTGGAATTTTAGGATTTTACTGGAATTTTGAGAAATTTGGCATTTTAAATTTACTGGAATTTCGAGAAATTTGGGATTTTAGAATTCTTGGAATTTTGAGAAATTTGGAATTTTTAGAAATTTGGGATTTTAGGATTTTACTGGAATTTTGAGAAATTTGGGATTTTAGGATTTTACTGGAATTTTGAGCAATTTGGGATTTTAGGAATTTACTGGAATTTCGAGAAATTTGGGATTTTAGAATTCTTGGAATTTTGAGAAATTTGGGATTTTAGAATTCTTGGAATTTTGGGAGATTTGGTATTTTAGAATTCTTGGAATTTTGAGAATCCTTAAAATTGTTACCTTCAGTCCAAAAATAAAAACTAAAAATGATTCAACACCGCTGTAGCGTAAACTGTCCGCTTTCAAGCTTGAACCGAATAAATTTATTACAAATATCAGCGAATAATTAATTACGCCATGAATTTCCCGAGGCGCGTCTGTCGAGCAAAGAGCCGAACGCGTCCATATCATCGAACAACCAATTAACTGATGCAGTTGCACAATTAATTGTCGCGGATAACATTTGACGGGAGGGAATAGATCGATCGCGGTATCGATGTATTCGCAATCATCGAGGGAAGTGAATAATTGGGGCCGATCGGTTCTCCAGCGTGGTAACCGTATAATTTTCCTCGTTTTCCTTGCGGTTCAACGATTTTTTTCCACGCTGAAACACGTTTGTAACACGCCGCGATAAACAAAAACGAATCAGCGTCACACCTGCGTGAAAAAATAATGTACGCTCGCAAAATGGAGTCTCCTTTCGGCAGCGTACTTTTTTTTTTCATTTCAACGCAAACGATTTTGTATTTTTTTTTACGCTTATGGTTCGCGGATTTTTCAATAATTTCGTGTAGCCATTTGAATATCAATTGGTAGCGACTTTTCGCGAGTGTACATATGCATGTACATCGTGTTTTTTCGCGGCGGACTTTCGCCCGTGGTTATGTATTGCTTTTTCGAAAACACGGAACGACGTTTACAATGTTTTTCGGGAATATCGAGTTACCGGTGATCTAATGCAAGGTTTATCGTGGCTACTGTTTGCTCGGATATGGAGGACGAATCGGCTGAATGTTTACACGGTTGCAGAAAACAGCTACGGTTTCATAAATATTGGGTAAAAATCGAAAATTGGAAAAATGCTTTCGCGAAATGACTCTGCGGACGAAGTAAAATATGGATTACAACGTCATGGTAGGCAGAGAAATTGTATTTTTTGATGGAAGAGTGGAAAATTTGAATTTGTAAATTTGGAACTCTGGGATTTGGTCATTTTTGAAGTAGGAAGTTTTGCGAATTTTAAAGACATTGTAAATTTTAAACCTTCGTCAAACCTTGAAATAAGTTCTATCGCTCATACTTTAAAATTTTTGAAACTAAAAGTCGGAGCTCTTGTGAAAATCTTCCCTCAATCGATCAAGCAAAGTTTTCACATACTGTTAAAAGCAAACTTACAAAAGCTTCGAAAGTAATATTCCTAAAGACTATCAAGTTTGAACTAACCGAAGAGTTCGATCGCGGTCTAATTTGTGATATAAAATGGCGGCTCTCGGTCACCATGAACCGAAGCCTTTTTCGCTCGAGACTTTCCGTACTTAAATTTCTAACTTAAAATTTCACCAACAAACGTATGGAATTTTAATGTTTGTATCCTTATTTAAATATTAAGCACTGTTTTTCTCTGTACATTTTATAAAACATCGTCAAGTATCATATGTTGTTTGATGTCCAGGATTTTTCGTCGAGAGCAAACCTCGCAACCCGTTAGAATAACATCCGATCGAATTTCACCGAAACTGGACGAAATAAAAGCTGGATCACGTGTCTGAAATCTCAATCGGTCAACCAAAGTTTTTACATACCGTTAAAAACTTTTACGAAAGCTTCGAAAGAAATATTCCCGTTGACGCGACTGTCAAGTTCGAACTAACCGGAGTCCGATTCGATCGGGGACTAATTTGAGATATAAAATGGCGGCTCGTCGCCTCTCGAGTCGCCGCGGTGCATAAAATGGTGGATGACCCTCGAGTGCAGGTTTAATGAGTTACTATTGAAATTTTTTATTGGAACGTAAATTTTGTTTTCGAAACTTGAGAAACATAATTTTTGTAAGGAGTTTTCTAAATATATTTTCTTATTGTAAGTGTATGGACTTGTCATATATGTCATATATGGACTTGTTAGTGAATGTTAGGAACATATGACGATTTGAGATATAAAATAACGACTCGGTCACCTCTCGGAGCGAAAGTTACCTCTCAAGGGTTAATCTCACATTTCGTCTGTGCAAGATGGAGGGATCAAGTTTTCTGTCCAGGTACGATGAGCAAAATAAATCCAATCTACGAAAGTGGGGTGGGAAGCGCAACTTAAAAGCAGGCGATACGCTGCTCATCTTCGCGAAACCGCTGTCGACGATTCGCTAAAAAGAAAGAAACGAAAAGAAAAGAAAAGAGGTTGAAATGGAAACAGAGGCTCAAGGCGATGCGCGAAAGCCATTTCTGAGGTTACTCGGTCCATTGCAACGACTTTGCTTCCGTCTTTGCTGTATCGCCACGTTGTTTCGCAGCCAGAATGGCGGTGCGAGGAACACAGATATCTGGCCAAGAAAATAGAGAAAAGAGAGAGCGAGCTTCTCTAAAGACTCGGAACGGTTCTCGTTGTCCTGGCTAGTCCAATGGTCTCTTTAATCTCCAGTCCTGTTGCCAATTCGTTGTCGGGTCTCTCGCTTTTACGGAAGAACCCGTTCCGCTCGATCTTTCCGGCTCTTCTGTTCACCTTTCGCTTCCGTTCATTTCGTCCTTTCGTAAGAGGAACTCAATGGACCGGATCGAAATTCCAACGAAGTAGCCGAGGATGGAATTGAAGGGAATTCGACGGTGTCCAGGATGGGATAAAGTATCGTCTCGGTGAGTAGTCGCCTTTGATTTGCTGTTGATTCACTGTGGATTTTCGTGAGTACCTTTTAGAGGATCGTGACTGGAAGATTCGCTGAATACCCACACGGTTTACCATCATGCTTTTTCGCCATTTTGTATGTGTGGATACTCTCTACATAAATGATTTTCAACTATAGGTATATGAAGTGTCTGTATGTTTTATCATACTTAACATATGAAATGTCTAAATGCATATGTATTGTATATGTTCTGTCATATGTAACATATGAAGTGTCTAAATGTATACATGTATATGTTTTGTCATATGTAACATATGAAGTGTCTAAATGTATACATGTATAATATGTCCTGTCATATGTAACATATGAAGTGTCTAAATGTACACATGTATAATATGTTCCATTACATGTAACATATGAAATGTCTAAATGTATACATGTATAATATGTTCTATTATATTTAACATATGAAGTGTCTAAATGTATACATGTGTAATATGTTCCATTATATTTAACATATGAAATGTCTAAATGTATATGTATATGTCCTGTCATATGTAACATATGAAGTATCTAAATGTATACATGTGTATGTTCTATTACACTTAACATATGAAATGTCTAAATATAAATGAACATGTATTGTTACACTCAACATATGAAGTGTCTAAGAGTCTAAACGTCTACATGTCCATACGAGTACAGACATATGATATGTGTCTCTACATACTGTTCTGGTTCTTAAATATCCTTTACTCTTTAAAATTTTGAAATCTTTGATTATTGAAAGTTTGGATTTTGAGACTTTGGAAGTGCAAAACCTTGAATTATAAAAATATTAAACCTTGCTTTAATAGTACCCAGCTTGAACAACACCCAACATGCGCCCCCATATAGTCAACAGCACATCCACAAGAATATAAAAAACGATGTAGAGTTGTATAAAAAATAAATGAAAAATTTCTTACGGCTCTGAGTGGACTTGACTTCGATAGTGAGTTGTCGATCCGTGAGCGAGTCGAGTATCCACGTGCACTTCTGCTGATAATACTGGTTGAGCTTTAAGCCGCTACTAGCCAGGTCGCCGCCATTGACCTCGCCTTCCGGTTTGGTCGTTGTGTAGTCACCGCAGTAAGTGTCGTTGATAAACTCGTAAGCTGCCTGGAAATTGAGGCCTGCCTTCGAGGACCTCGACCACTCGATGTAGACCGGTGTCCAGCTACGGATTCCAACGGGCAGCCAATCCTGCGGGATAGATTGCGGGTAACTGTAACGCGTGACACGCGAGCTGGAATTGCCCGATAATATACACGGTGAAATGTAACGACGATAATTATTGTTTCGTTCAATTTGACGACGATCGTTCGGTTAAACGCGAAAGAAAGGGTGGTAATCGATGCTACGCACCGAATGTGTGTACTATGCAAACCGTGTAATATTTAGCATACATTAAACACGAATTGGATACGTTTATGTTTGCTTATCGCGGTCGCTCTGATGGATATCGCGGTTGTTTATAAAGGGAATTTGTTTAACGGTGATGTATCTAACACTAGTGGTGGAGATTTTATGTTTTAATTGAATCATCTTGCGGTGCAAGAGAATTCTTCAAGAGGAGATTCTTGCAGGTGGAGCAAGAATAGGGATGCAGAGATTTATCGGAAGCTAGAGATATTTTGGGGTTTGCAGATTTTGGGGGCAAGGAGTCTTAGGATGAAAGAGTATTGCATTTAGGAAATAGGGATTTGGGGATATTGGAACCCTGGATAATAGGAATCATATATGAGGGTTTACTCTTCAAGAGGAGGTTCTTGCAGGTGGAGCAAGGATTTGGGGATGTAGAGATTTATCAGAAGTTGGGTGTATTTTTGGATCTGCAGATTTTGGGGTTAAGGAGTCCTAGGATGAAAGAGTATTGCATTTGGGAAATAGGGATTTGGAGACATTGGAACCCTGGATAATAGGAATCGTATATGAGGATTTACTCTTCAAGAGGAGGTTCTTGCAGGTGGAGCAAGGATTTGGGGATGTACAGATTTATCAGAAGTTGGGTATATTTTTGGGTCTGCAGATTTTGGGGTTAAGGAGTCTTAGGATGAAAGGATATTGTATTTAGGAAATTGGAATTTAGGGACATTGGAATTCAAGACACTAGGGAGCAAGGATGTAGGGGTTTACTCTTCAAGAGTAGATCTTTTCAGGTGAAGCAAGATTATGGGAATATATGCAGAGATTTACTAATCTGTTTGAAGCTAGAAATATTTTTGTATCTACATATTTTGTAATAGAAGAGTTTTAAAGTCAGAGGATGCTGAAGTTATGAAATCAGGATTAAGGGACATTAAAATCCAGGATAATAGAAATCATGGTTCTGAACACCACAATCAAAAGATCCAGAAATCTGAAACTAGAGATCTGAGAATTTTTAACCTATGATCTCACAAGACAAAATCCTTGAAATGTAAGAAGCAATAGCCTTGAAACGCCTCGAGTATAAAAGATCCGCCTAAAAAAGCAATTTAAAGCCAGCATACGTGTTCGTCAAAGAGCATTTAGCTCTCGAGCATGGCCGCTTTGCAAATCGTTCGATAGAGGGTCCTTGATCCTGCGAAAAACAATTTCTCGGCTTTGTCTGGTTGCCGCCGCATGCACGCGGCGAATTATTTGTTTTATTCAACCGATCGGTGAAATCGTTCGAAGTAATTCCAGGCGGGTTGATGGAGTAGGTGTTGAACAGAACGAGAGAGCATTCAATGTCCAATACAATCGGCGAGCATGGCGGCGTTTGTCCGTGAATGAAACTTGAATGAAACGGTGGCAGTCGGACGTGAGCGACAGAAATAAAAGGGGAGAAAAGAGAACGGCGTCCATTCGCGTCGGGACGCTTGCTGAGCATTTTACGAATTAAACGATCGCGGTTATCGTGGCGCTGCTGTCGTTAACGGTTCAACGTGGAACATCGTTTTGGACGTTAATGTCTTGAGATTGTTGATGCGATCAATTTTATTGCATTTGAGAAACGTTATAATATGGCATCATTAGGATATATATTAATATTATATTATACTGTAATATTTGGTAATTAGAACCTAACCTATCTTAACCTAACCAAATATAATATAACATTGTATTATATAATACAAATTAATTTAGGTAGAAGTAACTCCTCTGTGATAAAAAAGGAAATTCATGTTTGATTGGTTTTGTACTGTGGCATCAAATATTACCACATATATTAATATTATACTATACTTTGCTATATAGTCATTAGAACCTAACTTACCTTAACCTAACCAAATATTACACTACAATGTAATATTATATTAAATAATAAAAATTTTTGTAGGTGCAAAGAACTCCTCCATGAAAAAGAAATATTATAATATACTAAACCTAACCTACCTTAACCTAACCAAATATTATAACGTACTGTTATATTACATTATATAATAGAAATTAATATAGCTGCAAAGAACTCCTCTACCAAAAAAAAAAAAGCAAATTCATGTCTGATTGGTTTTGTACAGAACATAGAATTGTCACAATACTATTGTGACAATATATACAAACAGTGATGTATCGATAAAAATGGACGTTAAAACATAATAGGTGTTATGTTTGAACAAAAATAGCTGTTTCGGAGATTTTCACAATAGATAGTTCACGATTTGTTCATACATATGTTGTACACCTGTTGAAGCCATTTAGCAATTCCATTTTTCACGGTAAATAAACTACACTACGGAAGAAGGGAGATGGATTTTTGCAAACGCGTACCTGTCTGTTATTTCGTGACATGAAAATTGGCAATTTCAAAATATTGTGTTACTTCGTTGTTCGTGAGATTTTGTAATTTTTGGTTTTGGTAATTTGACGAATTAGAGGGTTAGGGATTTAATGGCGTGGATGAATGGGGGTTTTGTGGGTTTTGGGATGTGAGGGTTTGGGGATTTGAGAATTTTGGGGATTTTGGGGATTTGAGGATTTTGGGGAGTTGGAGATTTTGTGGATTTGAGGATTTGAGGATTTGGGAATTTTGGGGATTTGGGGATTTTGGGGATTTTGGGGGGTTGGGAATTTAAGGATTTGGGGATTGGGGGATTTTGAGGATTTAAGGATTTGGAGATTTTGGGGATTTTGGGAATTTGAGGATTGGGAGATTTGGGGATTTGGAGATTTGGAGATTTAGGGATTTGGAGATTTAGGGATTTGGAGATTTAGGGATTTGAAAATTTAGAGATTTGGAGATTCAGAGATTTGAAGACTTAGGGATTTCGAGATTTAGGAACTTGGAGATTTAGGTATTTGGAAATTTGAAGATTTGTATATTTGGAGATTTGGGGCTTTGAGGATTTGTGGATTTAAGGACTTGGATATTTGAGAACTAGGGAATTTAGAAATATAGAAACTTGAGGATATAAAAATTTGCAAATAAATAAATTTACTAACTAGAAACTTCACCAACACAAAAATCTGTCTTCCAACCTTGAACCCTAAAAATCTCTTGCAAAAAAAAACAACCTCCAATCTTCAATAACCTTCACATCTCCGATAACCTTCACATCTCCCAATATTCTCCCCGTCAACATCTCTTTACACTCCCTCTATCATTTGATCAAATAAACCATAATACGCTAATTACAAAAGGGATTAGATCGGAGATTTGAAAAATAATTGGATTTGCAAGAAATTAACGAGCTTCCAGTTCCTACAGCAAAAGTACAATAATTCTCACGTGGAAGAGACGACGAAGTTCGCTAGAGGTCTTTACCTGATAATTTCCGCAGAGGCAGGTGACGATGTGACCAGTCTCAGAGACGAGCAAAAGGTGGTCCATGTTCTCCAGAGACTTGTTGCTGACGCAGTGACAGCCGCTGTCTCCGCATTTGGTTTCGCAAGGGTTATTCGGGCTCTGCTTCGAGCTGCCCTCCACCTTCGAGCAAAAGCAACAACTTTGTTCATGATCTGGAATTGTGCGGCGAACGCTGGATGGAATGTCTGGAACTTCCTGTAGTTCCAGGAATTCCTTTCGTACCCCTCTTCCAGATATTTCGGAGACTATCTTTTCTAATAGACTCCAGTTGACGAGTACATAAAACCTTGTCTTATAATATCTTCTACGTGTGTCCGAACATAGTTGTTGAAATGTGACGAATTTGGTTTGTATTTTTAGTAGGATGAAATTTTGAGATTAATTAGAGACAATAAGAGATAAGAGACAAGATACATGTCTAAAATATCTCTAACATTTGAGGACTATCTTTTCTAATAGACCTGATTCGATGAGTTAACCACATGTCAACCTCTAAATTTCAAAATTCTTCAATCCCAAAACCTCCAAATCCTCAAATTCTCAAGTTCTCTAATCTTCAAGTCCCAAATTCCCCAAACTCCCCGAATTTCCCAAATTCCCCAAATCCCCAAAGCCCCAAGTCTCCAACTCTCTAAATTCCCAAGTTTTCATCTAAATTTAAATATCATTGAATTCTCAAATTCAAAGTTAGAAAATTAAATTCCCCAATTTCCCAAATTTTCAAATTCCCAAATTCCCAAATTCATCTAAATTCCCAAGTTTTCAAATTTTCAAATTCCCCAATTTCCCAAATTTTCAAATTCCCAAATTCCCAAATTCCCAAATTACTAAATCTCCAAATCCCCAAATTCTCAAATCTCCAACTTCCCAAATTCCCAAATCCCCAAATTCCCAAGCCTCCAACTCCCCATATTCCCAAATCCCCAAATCTACAAATCCCCAAGTCCCAACTCTCCAAATTCCCAAATTCCCAAATTCCCAAATTCTCTAATCCCTAAATCTCGAAATCCCCAAATTCCCAAGTCTCCAACTCCCCAAATCCCCAAATCCCCAAATCCACATATCCCAAAATTCCCAAATCCCTAAATCTCCAAATCCCCAAATCCCCAATTCCCCAAGTCCCGAACTCTCTAAATTCCCAAATTCCCAAATTCCCCAATTCCCCAATTCCCAAATTCCCAACTACCCAAATTTCCAAATTCCCAAATTCCCAAATTCTCTAATCCCTAAATCTCGAAATCCCCAAATTCCCAAGTCTCCAACTCCCCAAATCCCCAAATCCCCGAATCCCCAAATCCCCAAATCCCCAAGTCTCCAACTCTCCAAATTCCCAAATTCTCTAATCCCTAAATCTTGAAATCCCCAAATTCCCAAGTCTCCAACTCCCCAAATCCCCAAATTCCCAAATCCCCAAATCCCCAAAATCCCAAAATCCCAAAATCCTCATATCCCAAAATCCCCAAATCCCTAAATCCCCAACTCCTCAACTCCCCAAACTCCCAAAACCCCAAATTCTCAAATGGATCCACAATCATCATCCCCTGATTCTTTCATCTCCCCAAATTGCGTCCAACGACAAAAACCTTCAATTCCTCCGATTCGAAATTGGACATTCGTCATGCAAGAAGGTAATGCGTTTCATTTATAAATTGTTTGCATAAATCAGAGAAAACGAGGAATTGAATGAACGAAATTTTGATAACAGTTTCGATGCACAGATATCTCGTTGGCTGATTAAACATCGATCGAAGGACTTACGCGAATGATGACCGACTGATTAGCCGCCGGAATGAAATGCTGCCTGCATTTTATAGGCCCCTCCATGGCGAATAATCGGTGGGGATCTGGATGCACCACGGAGCCCTTCACCGGTGATGTCAATCCGTAATATTCGACGTCGCACACGCTGGCCGGTTGTTGAGTGCCACCCTCTCGCTCTGAAATATCGACAAATCCTCGTTTGTGAACTCAATTCGTCGTTCAAAGGATTTCAAATATTTCGGTTGGTCAGTGTCTAACCTAATTGCAAGATTCGTTTCATTTCATCGTTGCAATATAAATATTTTTGATAATTAACGCTTCGTCAAATTGGCGGAAAAACGGTTCGCGACTTCGTTTCGATGGGTATTTTATTTATAATAAATTTGTGGTATTTGTAGTGATAATTTATTGATGCGATGTTTAACTGAAGAGTTAAAGATATAATCTAAATTGATCGAATTTTCAAGTATTTGCTGGAATTATTTGTGATCGGATAACTGAAATTGTTTTCATTAACACTTTCGCTGTTAGCATACCTCGCGTTCCATTAATTGTTTCGGTCATACAACTGTTGCGTTTCTGTTTTTACCGAATGTTTGACTCCCTCGGAAGCTAAACTGGCTCCAATTTCAGTAATATGTTCGATAATTCATAACGTTTAATGCAATCGAAAGCTATCGAAATTTTTTTCGAGGAAATAATTTTCTTAGAAATATAATGTGCAATTTTTAAGTTCAATTTTTCTGAATACAAAACTGTACTTGAATAAATTTTAAGTGGTATATTACTCTTGGTGGAGCTGGTTGAAAATGCGAGGTGGTAACTAATGTAACATAAAATGGTGAACCATTTTCTTACTTAAATATATATTTTCTTGGTAAAGATTGTATTCTAGAATGTAGTTAAAGTAAATTTGTACGCTAGTTTTAAAAGATGTTCACTATCTCTAAGTGTTTTGTATTACATTACGAACAAACATTTAAAAAGCCCGCCAAAACTTGTACATAACCAAACTTTATTCCACACGTACCTTCTGTGAAAATAAGCGTTGTTTTCAATTATAAATTGCAAATATCTGCAAAAGAACTTAAATTAAGAGTTATATTGAATAAGAATATCATAAATATTGAATGCAATTTCGGTATAACACGTGTGAAGCATGAATAATGATTTGTTTTTTAATCACTGTTTTAAATCATATATAGAGAAGCAAATACATTAAATACGAATCTTGAAGCTCGTTCCACGAGGCAATTTCCAGTAATCCTGCCTGGAGGTAATTCGCGTCGCGACGATTTCATCATTCCCACGTCGACGAGATGCCGGCTAAATTAGCGGTGCAATTTCAGCGGCGCGAACGATACGTCAAACACGAACTCGTCACGCGTTGTTCTACGGTCTAACCAAAATTCCGCTTTACGATACGACCTGGACAAATAAACGCGAGCGTCAATCGCGAAACTGTTCTGCGACTCGGAAACGCGTTTAATATACGGGAAAAGGTAGTTGCTTTAAACTCGCGATTTATCCTCGCGGTTGCTTTTCGCGCGCAGGAAGACTGACATTTTTATATTATGTTAAATTCGTCATATTTTAAACTCCAAAATTTCGAAGATATTTTTAATACTTAGTTATAATTAATTATTAAATTTTCTTAAATTTAAGTTGCATAACTTTTTTAAAATACTGTACGTTTTCCTCGAAGGTCTTAAAACAAGACAATTGATGAAGGCGCATCTGGTTGATCGATCAACCACGGACACGTCCATGCATTTATGCATCCGATCGTCCTATTATGCGAACATCGACCTCCTCCTCGGTTAATTGAATATTCTTTTGAAGTGGACCTTGAATATTGGACGTACAATTTCCCGGTGCTATATTCTCCCTTCGATTGTAAGGCTGGCTACGTAATACCGACGGACAATCTATCGGCGCATAAAATTTTATGCCATCCAGAGAGACCGATTTCCTCGCGAGAAAATCTACCGCACGACTGTCGACCTTCGCACGCGAAATTTTCGCATACGTAACAAAACGTGGAAATTTCGCTTTCGCAGTATAAGCAGAATCCGAGGAAATGCATCGTTCGATTGAAAATTGCTAAATTTTCATATTGGCACGATCGGAAAATGTGTTGATCTGTGAAAAACTGACGTTCATCGTTTTTATTGTCAGTGATTGTTTATTTGAATTGTTGAATTTTTGCAAGGCTCATTGGGGGCTCTCGTTATATTCCTGCGAACGGGGCTGCATGTGACGTTATAACACGTGACGTTATAACGTTATAAACTGTGGATGTAAAAATTGAAAGTCTGAGTTAAAAGATGATTATGTTGTGTTTGTTATGTAAGTTTATTATATATTAATGCATATTATAATATAGTATTAAATAATAACACAGTGACAGCCATTTTTCTTTCCAACAGCTAAATATTTTGTTATCACATTAAATATGTGATTTTGTCACGATGTGACTTTCATCAATTAACAATTTTTTTTATTGAAAATAGTGAAAAATTGTGTACTGGGCAGATGCGGTATAAACAACGTACCAGTGAACCGGAAGTTATCCGAAGGGGAAAGCAGCGAAATAACTCGAGCGAAAGAAAGAAAAGAGCGCGGAGTTAACAGAAATAAATACGGTATCGAAGGGAATTCGTGTAGAAAGTTTTCTTGTTTCTCTGCATATCGCGAGAAAAAAGTTCCGTAAACAGATAAAAGGGGAAGAAATATTTCGTTTTATTCGATGGAAATCACGTATTTCACTCTTTCTGATCAGATATTCTTGTGCACGGTTCCGAGAATTATTTCGAACGTTGGACTTGATTAAACTTAATTAAAATGCTGCAAAATGATAAGGGAAAGAAAGGGGATTCAGAAAACTTGAGAATATCTTCACGTGCAGCCGTGGCTTGCGTATCAACGACCGTCGAATACGAAACAATGCCACGAACTTGGAGGGTGTTTGGTCGGAACAAAGGGTAATCAGCTTAGGAACAACGAAAGAATAGAACCTTACAATTTTTTTCATAATGAATAAATAAGTGTGCGAACTATGGAATATTTAATATTTTTTTGGTTGGGAATATTGAGTTGTTTTGATAGCTGTGGGAGATTTTTCAATTTGGAGATTTGGGGATTTGGGGAATTAGAAATTTGGAAATTTGGGAATTTGGGGATTTGGGGATTTGGGAATTTCGGAATTTGGGAATTTGGGAATTTGGGAATTTGGGAATTTAAGAGTTTTGGAACTTGAGAGTTTTGGAATTTGAGAGTTTTGGAATTTGAGAGTTTTGGAATTTGGGAATTTGGGAATTTGAGAGTTTTGGAATTTGAGAGTGTTGGAACTTGAGAGTTTTGGAATTTGAGAGTGTTGGAATTTGAGAGTTTTGGAACTTGAGAGTTTTGGAATTTGAGAGTGTTGGAATTTGAGAGTTTTGGAACTTGAGAGTGTTGGAACTTGAGAGTTTTGGAACTTGAGAATTTTGGAACTTGAGAGTTTTGGAACTTGAGAGTGTCGAAATTTTATTTCATCAACTCGATTAAATTTAATCCACAAATATTCCATCAACAATAATCAACATGACAATCCATAAATTGACGATAATATAAATGGAACATAGAACACAACGTGCAGGTTAATTAGAGACATCCTGTGTGCCGATTGCATTTTCTAATTGGAACCGTAGACGTAGTCTTATCGATCGAACAGCGCGTCGCGTGTTCAGACACGCGTACATATCGTGTAAACGTAATAACGTTGACGAACGACGGGGACATTCGTCAATCAGCGTCAAATCGATGCCGGCAGTTTGTCGCCGGGCTGACTTTCCATTCTCGTCATTTGCCCATTTTTAATGCGTCACGATTTTTCCTCTCGTCGTCATTGTTCCAATGACACCGCGTTCCGACGTGCAAAATGACACCCCGTCGCCATGGTCCGTTATTCGACAGTCGATATGATACAAATCGATTGGATCAGTCGCGATTGAACATTTTTTCGGTCGTTGAAACGTAAGAAATTGGCATTTTTGAAAGGTACGATGAAACCGCTCGCATTCCTGGCTTTCCTAGGGACTTTTGTATTATGTTATGGTGATATGTAATTTGCTTTTGAAGCAGAGGTAATAATGGATGAGGAATATGGGATTATAGGGATGTGGAGATGTAGGAATGTAAGATATTTGGGATATAGGAATTTAGGGGTTTTGAGTATCCAGGGATTTTTAGTCTGTCACTGAAATATTCATCAAATTTTTATTAGCAAGTAATAATATCTAAAACTAGATAATAATTTTGGGGATATAGGAACATAGAGATATAGGAATGCAAGATATTTGAGATATAGGAATTTAGGGATTCTGAACATCTAGGGATTTTTAGTCTATCACTGAAATATTCATCAAATTTTTATTAGCAAGTAATAATATCTAAAACTAGATAATAGTTTTGGAGATATAGAAACGTAGAGATATAGGAATATAAGGTTTTTAGGATACAAGAATTTAGGGACCCTGAATATCTAGGGATTTTCAGTCTATCTTTGAAGTATTCATCAAACTTTTATTAGCAAATTATATTAACTAAAACTTGATAACAATTTTAGAGATATAGGAACATAGAGAGATAGGGATATAAGATTCCAAGGTTACAAAAATTTAGGGACCTTGAAAATCTAGGGATATTTATAGGAACTTCGGTAATTTAAGAATTTCGGCAATACAAGAATATTCAGGAGTTCAGAAATGTTCAGAAATCCATAAATCCAGAAAATTTTATAGAGAAACATTTTTATAGACAAGATTTTTGTATAGTAACATAAGGATCTGTGGATCTAGGGATTTTTAAGATACAGACATCCGATGATCTAGTATCTTATACAAAAGTTAATTACAAAACATCTTAACACAAAAGAGTAAAAGCACAAAGTTATAAAGCTCTGATAATTTAATAACAATTCTCTAAATATATGGCATATATGTATCTCTCCTTTTATAGCATAAATTCTACGAACACCATTCTGCATACCGCCACCACTAAATTAAAATACAACGCTATAAAATATATTCTTCTGATTCGCAAGATATCCCGAAACTGTTTATACATTTTCATATAATAAATTGCACATAATTTTCGTTCGTATCGTAAAACATTGAAGCTGGAAAATAGAAGC